GCGTTCCAAGTTCCTGCCTAAAGTGGTGGCCAGCGGTGTATGTCATGCCACCATGAACAAAAGCCTGGAGTATGTACTGTTTCTATCTGTTTCTAATCCTTTCGACCATTTTCACCTATTCATCATGTATTTCACCTTTTTCCCGGGCTCTTTCCACCCCCTCTTTCACGTACCGAGTACCCGGTACCCGCCCAAAAACCGCTCCTCTTGGACCCGGCCGGACCCCGACCTCTTGGACCCGGCCGGACACGACTAGGACACCGAGACAACCACCTCCTTCGACGATGGACCTACCTGGGACACCCAGACCGGACCAGTGAGTTCCCAGTGACGAAATCACCGGGTACAGTCTTAGTGAGTCCCTTTAGTGAGCAAACCGGGTACAAAGGGTACAAAGGTTCCTTTAGTGAGTCCCCATAGACTCAGTCCCATGACAGTCTTGGACGGTTGGACGGTGCTCCGACCGGGTCCGGTCCGGCCTGGGTCGGAGTGGGTGGACCGAGTCGACCGGGCGAGCTGTGGTTCCAAGGACGAGACCATCGACCTGGAAAAAGGGAATCCATTAACGAGCCGATGTTAAACTTCAGAACCAATGTTAAACTTCAGGTGTTCCAGTTCAGACTCCTAAACAATCCAGGTGTTTCCACTGGTTTTCCTGGTTTTCCATAAAGCTTCAACCATTCCTTATAGTACTGTCTGCCTGGGAATGGTGTTCTGGGTATACCGGAAGACAGCATGGTCGACCGGTCGACCGGTCGTCCGCCTGCCGTGAACGAGTGACGTCAACCAGGAGCGTCTCCTGGTGGTTTTGACCTACTGTCAAAGGAGAGGGCGGGGAGGAAGAGTCCAATATGTCATTCATGTCATGGCCTTCTTTTTCGATGTTTTCTGCCATTTTTGCTCCAAGAAGTCTTGAGATTGTTTGACATCGAAGATCGTGGAATCAGGGGAAATGAACCCAACCTTTCAAGCGAAGAAACGCAAGAAAGTGTATAAACATTGGATCTGGATCCCTCGAACTTTTGGATATACGGTGAGTATTTCCTCCTTTATAGAAGCAGCACTAGAAGCATCACTTTTCCAAAGAGAAGCCCCCCGTGGAATTCTCGAGATTTCATGGTTTTGGGACGGACTTTGTCAGTTGCCTGCATTAATGGTGAGGACAACTGGAAGACTCCCCATAGTAAATCTTGAGGGTGCTCATCGGCTCATCGCCCATCGTAGGAAGAAATGCGGCCTTGAGTTGCTTACAACAAATAGGCAAAACGTTGGATCTGCTTCTTGTAAGCGAAGGCTTCCAATTTTCGGTTTGTATGGGATAGCCGGAGCAAAACGCGGAGGTAGACGCGAGAAGGCTTGCTAGGAGAGAAGAACACCATCAAGACCCTCACAATTCATTCCTCTTAATGGCAGTATTTATCCCAGAATGTCTCAGGGTCTCAGGTAATTGCTCAGCTGTATATATATATATATATGTTTAAACACAGAATATAATAATGTACTAATAATGAGAATGTAATATATAACTATGTATGTCTTCTTTCAAAGCCAGCTTCCACCAAGGTGGAATGAAACCCACCTGACCGGAACCCAATTCAATTCTGATTCAATCTTATTCGAAGACTGCGCTGCTTGGCTGCTTTCACTGGATCCAAAATGATCCAAACAGTGGGCATTTGTCGGATAGATTCCAGCAACTTCTTCTGCTTGCCCGAGGGCCTTCAGCTAGGTCCACGCCACAAACGTCACAACCCCTCGTAGACTCCTATAGACATTCTCACCTCGCGAACGGCATTGTGTCGAGCCCTGTGCGATCGGCATTCCTAGTGCCCTTCGAAGCCCCGTGGAACTTTCGCACATCTTTTGCTATCTTTACATGTCCAAAGACCCACCAAAGCTGGTCGACTTCACCTCCTCAAGTAGTATTTTTGAGTGCAGTGGCCTTCTTTTTGTATGACCAACTCAAAAAAAAAACGAGGTCAGTTCCGGACTGTAAGCTTCAGTGATGTCCAAAGAATGGTCTAGCACTGCGTAGTGAGGTCTAGTGCGAGCTGTGGATAGCACTGCTTACTTGCAGTGACAACGTGAAAGAACAGGAACTCATCAATCATTCACTGAACCAATCCAGCCCCCAATTCATTCCACCCAATCACTAAATACATCTAAAAATCATACCAAAACCGTTGGAATACCCTTCCGTTTCAGGGGCCTTTGATGATTTCAGTGAATCAATCCTTGAGGATTTTATGCAGGATCTCCCGGAAAAAAAGCGCACACTGATGGCGAAAGACCGTCTTCCTCCATAAACCCAGTGGTTTTCAGGGTCCATGTGAATCTTCCAGGGCGTAGGGATCCACACCTTTCGCACCAGCGAAGCACATAGCTGTGATTGGATGGGGCGCCGAACAACTTGAACCACCAAAACATTGCCTACATCCACGCAACGTGCGCCCAAGTTCACGAAGTCGTCGCAAAACGGAACTGGAGACGATCCACCTACATCCACGGGCGACTGCCTGGCGGCCTCTGTTTTTTTGGGGAGGATTTCCATTTTGGTCGAGTGTCAAGGCTTTCGCTGCCGCGATTCATAGGGACTGTAGCAGCTCCTAGGCTCTCTGAGTTTTGCGGAAGAGAGCGATGTACTTCGTTTTTGCTTCGAAGAGGCTCCGATTGTATCCGCATGTATTCTGCATTGGTCACTAGACTAGTGCGTCACGATCCGGGAAGCGCGCGGAATCGCTGGCACCGGTCCTTGGGATGCCTGATGAGTACGGATCATCCATTATGGGTACTTAATGGGTTGGGACCCTCCCTGTAGCTCCGGTTCCCGCAGCCGTCGCTCCCGTTCCGGAGACAACGCGCTCTCCGGAGCCGGAAGGAACGCGAGAGCCGGAAGTCGCTTCTTCGCGTAGCATCGCGAGAGACGTCAGTGGGCATTGGATATAAGTAGCATGGGACAAGGATCAAGATTTGGGTGCTGCAAGGGTGTGGATTTGTTCATGCAAAGAACCTGGTTAAGCCGTACATGAAGTCATGAGATTCTTCAGTACATGGTTGTGAGACATGGCACCTGGGTACCCTGGGCCAGACCTCTGAAAATGAATATATAGATCCCTTGAGTTTCGGGATGTCAGCCTCCCAATGGTTTGGTGGGCGAGGTTGCACTCACAGCCGTATTGCAGCAGCATTGCACACCCGAACATTGGACCCTGACACTGGGTTCCTGGAAGATTGTTTTCCTCTACCAACCAGTGGTTTTGAGGTCCATGTGGTCCGAATTGCAGGGAAGTAGAGTGTTTGGATTGCTATTCAGCTCCAATGTGCCCCTGGCTTCTGCACAGCTCACAACGATCTAGCAAATGTGCTTCGAGCAGCACTTTTGCTGGACTTTGTGTGGAATCTGGACCAACAGCCTGGCTAGAAAAACATGAAATCCAATGAGAAGTGAAGCTCCCAGTTTCAGCGGTTTGCAAGAACACACTAAGGGTTTCCAAGACATGCCAGCTGTTTCGACTTGACCTTTTTCGTTCGTCCCATCCAGAAAAACCTTTTCGCATGTTTGTGACCGAACCAACCAGGGGCGACCAAAAAAACGGCTGTAGAACCAGGTGCTTGAAAAGGCGTTGTAGAACCAGGTGCTTTGTAGAACCAGGTGATCGCTGGTGCTTGAAAAGGCTGGAAGCCTGTTCACATGAGTTCACCAGCGATCCAAGCGCTTCCATCTTACGATCGCCACTCATCAGGTGAGGCAGGAAGACCTGGAAGTCGACAGTGAACGTCGGTGCAAGCGCAATGGGCTGCGAAGAGAAGCGTAGAAAAAAAACCACTGTACACTGGAAGCACTGGATGAAGTTACCACAAGGTAAACCGCGCCAACGACCACCATATAGACTTACAGTTTCGATATCCTGATCCCTAATAAAGAGTTTACAGTAGTGGCAATTGCTGAAGAATCCTGTTGCACCTGGAATGCGCCCTTTTCTTCTGCAAATCCTTCAAACATTGGGAACGAACGTTTGGGACAATCCTCCGTCTATTTCTTCCAGGTCGAAGGATACAAAAGAACACCAACACCGGTGAAAACGATTCAACCACCAAGCAACACACCCATACACTCCATGGGACTGGAATATACATCTGCCTACATTGACCCCCCCTGGCACCACCCCAACTGATCGGCATATTGGCATATTATGGCAGTCCCATATGGGTCGCGTCTGGGTGCACAGTTCCAACCCTCCGACGAAGTTGCCCGGCTGTGCCGGCTCCGGTTGTAGCACGAGCAGCTACATCCCAGACCAAACGATGTCTGGGACTGGAATACATCGATTTACATACCTGGACCCGACACCACGGGGTGCCCTGTCTGGAAGCCTATAGTGTAGTGTGGGGTAGTTCATTGGACACCCCGACAGGAGGGTCCTTTACCCCATGAACAAGACCCCAATGTAGGTAACTATTCCAGTCCCTAGATGGTCCGGGCATCCGAGTGACCCGAGAAGAAGGACTTGATTGATCTGGCGGGGGTCTCACATACAATCACATACAGGTTCCCTGTGTTGCAGGCAATTTAAGCTGGGTCTGGTCGGACCAGAGTCAGAAAGGTTTGAAACGGACCATCGCTTCAACCAAGTAAAAGACGCTCAAAGCCAGCCTAGCTGCAGCTTTTCGCCGCCAGGGGTTCGTTTCACCGACCAACAACGTCGACCCGACGGTCGAGGTGACACGGTGGAACACCACTTGCCAGGATGAAACGCACCAAATCGCGACATCGACATCCGCCAAGCCCAGAAACACCAGCACAGTGTCCCAACTTTTGAAAAAGGACAGTCGAAATCGATCTGAAGTGGAAGGTGTTCAAAACAACTCGCAGGTGCCAACCATTCTCACCAGTTCTCCCAAAGGCTTCCGGTGATCTTTCGATCCATTCGGATCCATTCGGGCTCGCTCCGAACACCCACAACCGCGACCGACCGTGGAAACCTCCGGCTCCGCGCCGCTTAGACGGCCACCAAGGCGGGTATTGGCCTGGCCGGCGGACGTTTCAACACCAAAGAGTCTTCCGTTCGTGTTCGACCCGACGGATGGTCCCGCTCCGAGGTGGTCCGACCGGTCCGGAAGGGGTCCCGACTCGTCTGGCGGGGGTCGAAGGGGTGTGAACGACGCCCAAATCCGGTGGGACCGGGACCGGGTGCTGTGGGGCTGTCGACGACAGACATGGATCAGCGGATGAAATAGAAGGAAGAACATTCTTCATGTGCATCAGCGGATGAAAAAGAGACTCCTTGGAAATGATCGGACACATCATTGTGGAGATCAGCCACATTTTAGTTGGGAAGAACCTGCCCCACCACGCCTCCGGCGTGATGGTTCTCCATAGTTTCTGCATCGTCCATGATCAAATCTGTACATGAGGCGAGCAAACAACAACACATCCAACAATGGCTTTCATCCTGGGTAAAGGCATCAAATATACACCTCTTCTTCCCAATACTTGTCTTACATACGCCTGATTTATGCCTCCTCGACCCTCGTTCATCTCCTGCCTTGGCGCAAAGCCGGAAGGCGGCAATGCCTGGCGAAGCCCGGACGAACCGACCGCGCCGGGGTGGACAGTGGCGTCAACCTTTGGGCAAAGGCGCCAGCCAGCGAAAAAAAGGATTGTTGGGCAAGTCTTCAGAGAAGGACAGGTGGTTCAACTTTTCCAAACTGGAGGAGAATGCCAAATGAACCCAAAGCCAAGCTGAACTTGGATTTGCTGTCCAAGAATCAAGACTTGATACAGTAAACCCAAAGATCTTTCCCCATGCCAGGGGGATGAACACCAAGAAAACTGGCAACCCCAAAAGTCAAACTGCCAAAGCAAAACTGAAGTGTCTTCGGCAGCGAACCCTTCGAAACATCAATTCCAAGGAACACTTCCCAAGCAAAAGAATCCTCAATCCCAACACCATCATTTTGCTAGTCCCAATATCCTGTCAGACTTCCTCAGCCGAGTTTTGGTCGGCAAAACCCACGGTGCGTTTTGCTGAGCCAGAAGGCAGAGCCTGAAGGCAGACTTACCAAAAATCTGAGCATCTGGAAAAAGCTGCTGAAGCAGGCCTAAAAGACTACAACAGGGCTCAGGGGCTCACAACTTTTGAGTGGGTATGCACGTGCACAAATCAAATCCACCTGGACCCTCCAACTGGATTTTCGAACAGGTGTGTCCTGGTGGCAACAGGTGCCTAGAAACCACCTGCTGGGGTGCTAAGACAGCCTGTTGGAGGGTGCTGGTATATATTTATCTACTGTATTGTATTGGGCATGCTTGGGCATGTACCAAATCCAGCTGAGCCTTACATCCATGTGCAGCCAGATTCCCTCCGGCTTCCCCCCTTCCAGCCTGGGCAGGATAGACCTTCGCCCTAAGTGGATCAAGGGCATTCCATGGCCTCTCCCCAATAAAAGAGGGGTCACCACCATCCGTGTAGCCGTTGCTATGCCAAACCAACCACGGCCAACCATTGTGAACCTTTTCGTGGTTCCAATTAACTTACAGTAGATATGAGAGAACACATCAGTGGTTCACTTTGGACAGTGACTTCAGCCCCTTCCCCGGATCTTTTCAAGAAAAACACAACGACATTGGAGGATCTAAGAATCCTTATGTATTATCTCAAGAATTGATGCAAGGATTGACACATTACCATGGTTGGTGGCTGACAAGGAACATGATGATGATTCAAGGTGAGGGGGAAGCGGAAGGGGGTCTGCTATTGCAGACTGGTTGCAGGGTGGTCCTCTACACATCCCTGCTCGTGCGTCGCCGAGTTCCTTCAAGATCTTCAAGCACGGAATATGCCAGAACTTGGATTTGCGGTCCAGGAAGGAAACACAAGCCATCCAGGTTCCCCCAGGATGGGGATTCACATGGATTCACCCATATGTAGAGAAACCTTAGGGATCCAAGTACCTTCTGAGAAGGTACTTGGATCCCTATGGACCATTGGAACCACTAGGTCCGATCCGCCAAACCGCCACGCCCTCCGCTGAGCTCGAGAGCCTCAGTGGCCGCACGGCCCACGGAACCGCGGGAAGAGCCTGGAAGCGACGGTGAGATGCGGTGAGATGCGGTGAGGCATCCGTGATGCGGTGGATCTTTGCTGTGGAGAAGACTTGAAAGGGCGAATGAACTGGTAGAGTTGGTGGATGCAAAAACAAGCTTCTTGATTGGCAAGGCCTCACAACAAGCTTCATGGCAAGCTAAAGAGCAATATATGGTGAAGCAGGTTCGGACATGGCGCTATGGCTTGTGTGCAATGTTTCTGAGTCAGCTTGTCAACAACCTCTCCTTCACCGATTTTCTCACAATGCTGAGCGGTGCAATCCAAATTCCCAGCGACCGTGTCTTCAGCCACTGACTTTTAGCCACTCTTGTGACTTGTGCAAATGGCACTGTTTTTTGTTCACTGCAGACTGCCCCCCCGGAGCCCGGGCATCCATGCACCAAGGGCTCGAAACCCCACACGTTGGATCAAGCCCCGCAGCGGTGCCGTCTTTCGCGATCCGGGAGAAGACTTCTGGACAAACTCGGTCCAAGGATCACTCCCAGATCCGTTGCTGGTTAGCCCAGGGTCCTGACCACCCATCTGGAACAGCGACCAAAGGGTCCTGGTCTTCGGGCCAAAAACACCGAGGTCTGAAACGTCACGGACGGCACCGTCGCCTGGTATGGTGCCAGTGCCGGTGGTCTTATGCCTCGGGTGGAGGGACAGAAGGAGGGAGAGAACCTGCAAAATCTGATCTCCAACTTGGGTATCGGTATGTATCGGTATATCCCATTGCCAGGGCTCAGCGGATGATGGTCGGCAGCAATGATTGTTTTTCCTGATACCTTGCGATCATCTACTACATTTGACATCTTTTACATTCTATCTAACTGTTATCTCCAACTGGTTATCTCCAACGGCAATCTCCAACATTTCTGCTTCTGCGCTTCACTTCACTTGGTTCTCCCGGACTGTTCGCTCCAGCGCCAGGAGCGCCAGGGGCTGGGCTAACCACCTGGGTCACCAGACTGACCAGGCACGGTGTCGGTTTTTTCACGACCACCAGACTGTTCGGTGGGTGTGCTTTGAGACCTCGACCAGGTGGCCCCGATCGGCTGGGTGGTCGATTTCCCGGGTGGGAAGGCCGGGTGGAGGTCTCCCTATTACACACTCACGACATGGTTTTGACCATCCCCCACGACTGAAGAAATTCCTCGCAAGCCTCTGGGAGTCGTTGGAGATTGGCAGCTTCTTGGGTGTCCGTGCAGTGAAAAAGCTTGCTGCAAAGCAAGTCGCAAGGGACAAATATGGACAAATATTATGTTGGAAAAGGTGGATTTGCTCAATGGACAGAACATGGTCTGCTGTTGCTTTCTTAAGAGGAAGATATTCCGCTGGGAATGTTCTCAAGTCACGTCAAGCAAACCCAGGACTTAGAGACTGAGTTTGGTTCAGGGTTGATTTGCAAAAGACATTCTAGCATTTTCTGCACAAGTCTCGGAGGATTTCGCATACTGTACTCCGAGGCTGGCGCCCCACTTGTGAGCTAAAACGTGCCAAAACTGGTGGCAAATCGGTGAAACAAGATGAAACAAGTATCTTGTAGCTTGCTCTCACCCTCCTTGGACCTGCTGCAAACTGGCAAACTTGCATGGTCCTGCACTGCAGCTACACAGAGCGACACACTAAAGCCAAACATTCACAGCTAATCTCGGGAATGGTGAATGAGTTCTGAACCCCCTAACCCCCCCCGGATGCCCTTTGATCGATCCGAATCCCTGGAGAAGTTTTTAGACAGTGGGTTTCCGTTTCCGAACTCCGGACATCGCTGGCTGTGGGGTGGACACCTTTCGTCCCTCGAATTCCCTTGAAAAAAAGGTTAAAGGAGCTCCAAACCACCAGCGAGTGGTCGTGATTCTGACGACTGGCCGACGGAGCCGGAGAGCCTTCGGATAGCCCCAGGCCACCGGAAAGGGGGCCTGACGATCCAAACAGCACAATGGTTTGAGGGACCCCAGCTGCATTGGGGAGGTGCAATGTTTCAGGCTCTGTTTCACTGATGGGCAAAATATGGATAGTTGGATAACGTAAGTATCGTGATACCTATAGATATGAGATGAACTATGCCACAAAATGTCACAAACATATTCTGTTCATATAAGGATATGGGTGCCATTCACAGAACACGTTCCAAGTCAATCACAGGGGTTTTTCACGACCTGTCGGTATGGGCCAGCCCTTAGTGAAAAAACAGAGCGGGGGGGCTATAAAACAATTGATTTACAGGACGGGGTGATGCCCTAGTTGATCGGTGGAAGTGCTTTTATTGGCAGGTCCGCACGTCTTGGACGCTGACGTATATTGTGCTTAAGAACGGCCGTCTTAAGAGGAACAAGTTAACCTTCTTAAACTTAGACTAAGGATTCCGCACTCAAGGTTGCGGATCTGTACACTTGCCCTTACATCACCGGCCTCTGCACACAATGACAAACTGCAACAGTCCCCCCCAAAAATCGCTGGCTTCTGATTGTTTCTTTCCACCGGGTCATTGTTGGATGGGCAGCCTACACTTTAAGCCATACCCACCCACGCCCACTTACTGTCTGACCGGTCTGGCCGACCTTCGTGCCGGTGCCGACTCCTTGGGTGACCGGAGACAGTCCCGGCGGTTGCGTCTCGCAGCTGGCCCCGGAGACAGTCCTGGCGAGACGAGAAGTCAGCAGACTTCTGCAGTAGGCTATATATCGGCTATGCCAAAGTCAGATGTTGTAGACACATGGAGGGGAATATGTTGCTTAAACTTGACCTTCCTGTCTGGGTGTCCTGGCTGGACTACTATCGAACCACTTCCTCACCTCCATCGAACCTCCATCCAACCTGTCGGGGACACCCGGTCTGCGCCAGAATGTTCGATGGCCGCGCGTAGCGTTGCACCATCTCGTTCACCTTGCGATCGCGGGACTGGACTCGTGCGTGTCTTTCGAACGCACCGCGGGACATGTGTCGGATCTGAAGCGCTTTGGCATGATCAAACAGTAGAGCATACCCCAGAATGAAGCGGGTGTGGAGGACTCCATGCTGGTGGGTGTCTCATCCCGTCAATAGGTCTAGGTATTAGCAAGTCCAGCTACATGTTGCTGGGAAGGATGGGAGCCGTCCCGGACGCTCCACAGTCTCCGGTTCATCAAAGGTGCGAGGTTTGGTCCTGAAAGAGCCATGGCAAAGCTTCTATACTTCCCTCAAACATGCGGCTGGGCTGAGCCTGCTCCCTGGCTCCCTGGTTCGGCGCGAGCTCGCTACAGGGGATCTGGCCCAAGTCGAACACCAAGGTATACTGCTTAGGGAACCGGGAAGAAAGATCATATTCCCCAGACAAGAATTCATAGGCTATATAGGGAAAAGAACCATTACCCTATGCGAAACCAAGTATACCTGGTCATAGCTTGTAGTGATGCTCCAACCATCGACCTAACTTCACAGCTGGGGGGGAGTACACGTGGAACATCGTGGACCTGAGTTCATTCCGGAGCCCACTGGGAAGCCTCGAGTCTTGTCCATCCAAGATGGCCAAAGCCATCCCTCACACCCCACCAGAACCAGTTCGTATACCTATGGATCGATGCAGCGGAGCACCATCTGTACAAAAATCTGCGACCTTAGACTCCTTAGACCAAAACAAGCTCTGTACCTAGGTTACAGGCCACACTATTTTTTAGATGATCCTGGTAGAGTCCATGTCCACTCAAATTTAGATTCCCCCGTACCATCGGGTTTTTCCCGGTACACACGTAGAGTTCGGTAGACTTCCGTCTGAAGACTCGTCCTCCGAGTCTTCCGGGGGGCAGGATGACTGCGGTCATCGCTGTCATCAGCCTGGATCTGTGGTATGGTGGACTGACCAAGGTGAAGAATACGACGTGCTTCTTCACATGCCATGATTCCGAATGACGGGTGTGTTGCACAATCACACACCGACACCGAAACCGACACCGTCAAACAGAAATACTTGAAATACCCGACACACTGGCAGAAGATCCATAACAAAAAAACAACAAAAACACATTCATATTCTGGGGGTTCTAACCCATATTCGTGTGCGTGAAGTTTGCATCAAAAAAAAGGAAATACCCAGCAAGCAAACAGATCTGCTGGTTGAGTGAGGAGAATCAGGACAAAAAAACTACATTCCCTAGAGCTCCAACCACTCAAAACGTAGTTAGACCCCCCCAACCCAACCCAATCACCTAATGAGGATACGCTTGGAGCCCTAGGGATTTACATGGCTTCTTACAGGACTCACCGCGTGACTGAGCTCCCCTCACCGCGTCGTCGGGCAAGAGCCGCAGACGCTGCTCAGGCGGAACAGCCTGGTTTCGAAGAAACCACCGGTGCGAAGATTGTCGTGCTTTCGTTGGCATTGGTGACCGTGCCATGTGCGAGAGAAGAATTGTGCGAGGAAGACACGTGACTACGCGATGTATACGGAAGCATCTAGCGAGAAGAGATCAGTTGTTCCCTGAACAAGCAAAACATCTGATTGTTCTAAAACTTGTCCCAAGCTGCATCTGAAGTTTCATCAAACATCCGACGAACAAAAAACACCCCCCCAAGCCGTGGCTCATTTCGAGAGTGCCCAATTGCCTGTGGGTGGCACCCAAAGCCCCAAAGCCATGGTAGGTTGACCTCCCATGCATCCCATGCAGGTCGTCTATTCTGTTCATTCTCGGCAGGATAGACTAGGGTCCCCACTTTGGAGTCTTCCCAGGCTGCCAAGACCTGACCGCCATTCGTCCTTGGCGTAAGTTTCGTCGGCGCCTCAATGCGCATGTGCGGCTCCGGCTTGGACTTCTCCGGTTTGCGGTAGCTGGCGGGCGCCTGCCGCGTGCAACGAGGCGAAGTTCGGCCTCTCCGCGCTGTCCTCAGGGACGGGAATGCCAAGGGAAAATCTCCGTCTCCAAAAGTCCCCTCAGCCACCAGCTGGGGGAGAACTTTGCGATTCATGAAGATTCTGCCGCTCAACATGTGTTGTGAGGCACATGGACATTACAGTCTTTTTCCTCGATATCTAGCGTACATGCTGGTACAAGCTCGAAGTAGCACTATGAGGGTCTCAGATATTGTAGGTACCTTTCTGTCTGGTCATTCAACCTCTCCTCGTAGTGGTCGACCTCAAACTTTGTATGCGACACCACCATCTGCGAATCCACCGAAACCAGACGAAGAAGTTAGATCAGAAAAACCGACTCTGCTCTGCACTGTTCCTTTTCACGCGAAAATACTCTCTTCCTGCCTCATAGATGGCATTCCGCGCGCCCAACCTGCACAGTCGAAGACGGTGGAGCTGGAGCTTCCCACGGGACGTCCGCGGAAAAGACACCCAATTCCCGAGCCAAGCCGTTGGCGGTGGACAGTTCCATGGTTCAGCTTTTTCCAGCTGCTTAATTCTGGGGAATGCAATCCCCCAAGAGAATGGTTATATAAAGGCTTTACAAGCCTGGCAAAGTGAGATGATATTTTTGGTTGACGACACACTATGCACGCACACATCACTAAACACAGGGAAAGCCGGCCAGGGCCAGTTTACTGGCCGAACATTCCTGAACAAGAAAAACGGTGTGTATTAAAAGGGGGAGACCTCCCAGTTAGACCGCCTGGAAGCTTCCGGAAGTAGACCAGTCTATCCAGCCAGAGCCAGGGGTCTCCCTAATATCTTGCACACCCGCATGATGAATGCCAAGGAGCTTAGATGCAAAGAGTTTGCCAAAGAGACAGCAACAACAACAACAACAACAACAAGAACAAGGGATGCACATAGACGGAGTAAAAGCTGGGCTCAGGAACCAATTCCTCATCGAATCAGCTGGGCAGCAGTAACTTGTGGATCGACTCCAATGGGTGGGAGCCAAGCTCATCCGGTACTCGGCGTTCGCCACACACGCGCCAAGCTCGTTGCGCATGACCGGTCAATGCTGATTTTGGACGTTCCTTCTGCGTTGTCTTCTCGCGCAGCATCATTCATGGCAAAGGTAACAACTCAACAGTTTTGCGTGCCACATAAATGCGGAACATCATGCAGCGCCAGCGCTTTCTGCGGCGCTGTCAGTGACAAAGGCCGAGGTCCAAGTTGCAAAGCCGGAGAGGCCATCTGCTACACTCCCTGGAATAACCATGGAAGTGGATTGCATGGCCCCTTGAATGACAAATTCCCTTAACAGGTGGTTTTCCACTTCTATGATTATTTCAGGGAGTGTACGTGTAGCTTAACAAGTTCTGCTCCTCCTCTCATGTACAGTCGCTGTGCCTCTGAATGGAGTGATGCCAATTTCCTCCATCTCTTGCAATTCTTTAGCTGAGAGCAGTTGAATACGTTTCCACCAGCAACTGCATGAACAAGAGTTGTGCTGCGGCGCCAACATCTAGGTCAACATCTGCAGACAGCAAGGTACACGCAGCAGCAGGGTGTCAGGAGATTCAACCCCCCCGGTCGATTTGATTGAAACGATCGCCTTGTGCTTTACTCGGCTTTCAGATTCGTGCCCACAAATCCGGGATTCCCTCTGCCATTGAGTGCATTGGAGACCCATCAAGACCCTGGCACAAGGGAAAATAGACTAAAACCCGGACAGACTAGGGGTCCTCCTGATCCAATACACACCAGCAACAAAATTTTGCTGCATGTGGATCTATTCTTGATTTATTTGTGTCCTAAATGACATTTTGAGGTTCTGCTCCTGTGAACGTTTTGCACTCGGCGCTCGACTAAGATTTCAACTAAATTTGCTGACTGTACGCAGCTTCTCACTTACTGTCGCTTCCTGCTTGGTGTGCGTAATACCTGCGCCACAAATGAGACTGACCATTGTTCACAGAAAAAATCAACATCTACAAGATTCTACGAAGCGGCATGAATTCCAGGCACGCAGGATTCCTTCAGTGAAAAACCCATTCCTCTTCACCTGTTTTTTTGGAATGGAGGAGCTAGCAAGGGGTGAACGGGAACTTGCCCATGGTCGTTCCAGTTTTCGTTTCCCTCTTGAATTGGGCAAGAACTGGATACCCCCGACCCGAGCCGGCTCCTTCCTGAGAAAACCAGCAGCATCTGCACCCAAATCCGAAAGAACACACACACACACACACCCAAGCAAATCCTTTCCACCGAGTGCCCCCCGCGTGCGGAGGAAGTGGGCCGGCGGCTTCCGCTGACAAATCTTGAACCCCTCCTCGACAAGCGGAGTCCAGCGGATCTGAGGCTTGGAGGGATTTACCCAGTTTACCCGTTTACCCTGCCTGAAATCCCTAGGGATCCAAGTACCTTCTCAGAAGGCACTTGGACCCTCCACAGCCACCCCAAACACCTTTTTGGTATTCGGAAAATGATCATCCTTTCGGGGCCATGCGTTCTCCACGTAACCACGATGATTTCAGGCGCAAATTCAATCAAATTCATCACTATTATTCATCTCTGTCGCCCAGTCATTTTCAGGGTCCATGTGGTTCACTGAAGGAGGGTGCAGACTGATCTGACCGAGGGAACGAGCAAGCTCCCAATATCTCAGACATAAAACAAGAACCCACGAACCCGAATGCACACACGCACTGGAACCAAACGGCCGAACATTTCGAACGACACTTTTAATAGGACACTCTTGTAGAAGGCGCTCCTGACATCTCCTGACTCCTGTGGGACACTCTTGTGCGACGACGCTCTTGTTGGACACTCTGTTGTGCGACGACGCTCTTGTGGGACACCCTTGGAGGACACGGTCCTGTGGGATACTCTCGTGCACAACATTCTTGTGGGACGCTCGTGTAGGACACCCTTGTAGAAGGCACTCTTGTAGGAGATGGTCCTGTGGGACACACTGGTGGGACACACTGGTGGCACACAGTCTTGCAACATTTCTGTGGCACAGTTTTGTGACACCCTGGTTGGACCGTGGGACATTCTTGCACGACACTCTTGTAGGGGACACTCGTCTTGTGGAGACTTCTGCGTCAAGTCTCGAAAGCAAACATTTCGCGCGAGACTTCCTCCAAGAGTCACGGGTCAAAGTCTCCAACACAGGCGTTTCGCACCAAACTTCTTCCAAAAGTGAAGTGGGAAGCCTCATCAGAGCGAGCACACCAAGCACCCCTGCCAACCAGCTTCGCAGTCCCAGTGCCTCAAAGCCACAGCCACTGACACGCCAATCCCAATGGCACAGCGATATTCACGTCCAACAAATGTCACAACCTCACGATTCCCTGCGCTTGCTACAAAAATTCAACGTTGACACTTTCAGCACGCACAAAGTGACAAAGCACTGCTCTTGCCACGAAAAGTGATGACATGACATCTTCATGTCTTCAGCAAAACTTGCACCACACCACACGGTTGGAATGATTTCGAGCGCACTCACATCCACCGGTTCGATGGTCCTCTCCATTGCAAAGGTTTTCAGGTAGACCATCTCTTAGAGGGTTGAATCTGTTGGGTTTTGGGGGGGTCCATTGCAGAAATATATGATACGGAGTAGTGGCTAGTACCTTGAGTCTGGCAAACTCCTTGAGTCTGTCAGCTTTCAAATTTAAATTGTCAGAAGTCGACAAGACAAAGATAGACAACGTGTCCATAGTTCGGCAACGATATACAATATATAGAAGGCATTCCGAGACCTTGAACGCCCAAGACGATGAAACTGATCCCAGTAGAGGCCAGTGTTTCCACGATTTGGTGAACTTCGCACTTTTGTAGACAAGCGTCAGTTTGAGAGCCACCTTTGATTTCGGTGGGCCATTGTGATGTAGTTCTAGCAGGAGTCGCAGTCGTACCCAAAAGAAACATAGCATATCATGTCATGCCCCCCATAAAGGACTTGGTAGATCCAATCTGCTATGGAACCACTGCACATATTTGTCAATGTCGGCTGCCGATTGTGTCCTGCAGTATCTCTGCAATGGCCGGGCCATCATCTACCAGCCTTGGAATCACCCGGATGCACATTCAGGAGATCTGGACTTGTATTAGTTCCAAAATCGATAGAACCATGGCAAGGAATCACCTGTACCTAGGTGGTTGGTGGTTTCCAGTGGAGAGCACACAGCCCAGGTCAAGGTTGAACATGCCAGGATCATCCAACATGGCACACGACATATTGAAACCCACGAAGCACCAATTGTGCAAAACACATCGCGTCGGTTTTGGGGCCTCAGAAACCTGGAATGCTCGTCAGTCCCCTTCAAAAGAGATTGTGGGGCTGCCCCACAGTACATCACAAAAGTGTGCCCTGGAAGTCCACGACCATCAAATAATGGTGTCCAGAGACGAAAAGGGATGCAGTTTGACTCTGCAGCTGCGCTGATTTTCACTCCTTCCTTGGATGATTACCTTGCAGGTAAGAGGATCAGCTGCCCACTGGAGGAGGCGTCGTCTCTCTTTGCCATTCTGGCGAAGTCAGCACAAGAGTTTCACAGGATCGCTTCTACATGCCTAATCGTCAAACATCGCTACTTATTTCATTTTCATTTGTTCACCGAAACAACCTCTGACAGGGGCACCTGACCTGTTCATCCGATCGATGAGTTTTACGACCTTTCCGTGTTGGTCCCGAGTAGAGCTCATCGGGACCACAGACAAATAAACACTACACTGATTTAACAACTGAACAAATAATCGCGCACCCACAAACAATAGAACGCTGAAGTCCATCATTTCGACGGCACAGCACATGCAAAGCTGGTCTCTTGATCCATGGAAGGTCTTTCGGTCAAGGCAGAAAACCACCAATGAGCTTTACCGAATCAGCGGCCTGCCAGCTCACGAGAGATCGTACGTTTCGTCGGTGGGTGCGTTGACAAGGCACCCACAAGGCAGTAAGGCTTTAGCACGGTCCGCCAACTGGCAAATGATGTCTGGGTTTGGTTGATGTCAGCCAGCGATGGCCCAATCCGGGAACCATAGAACTTCGGGCTCCTTTTGAACGTCAGCTCAGTTTCTCTCGGCACTGATTCAGCTGCTTTGGGAAGCCATGCGTGCACGCACTTGTTCGGCACGTCTTTCTTGCGACACGCTGGGAGAGGGACACGCATCTTGTGCTTGGCATTATGCACATGATGCTGCTGATGTGTGAACTTGTCTTGAACAGCAGTCTCACAGGCAAGTTTTGTAACTGGCTGCCTGAGGGGCGACTCGCAACTGCACGTGTTCAACGGCCTTGCATGGAATCCTGTTGCACAAAAGCAGGCCAGCAACACAATCTGCATCTTTGTCCTTTGCATTGCAGGCCATTGCAAGCTATTGTTTTTTCCACTTGCTGCAGCAGTGTGGAGTTGGCCCGGTATTCAATGGCTCTGCACTCGCCGCCAGTGGAAAACCTGTTGGGGTCCCTGAAGGTTCAACGGACAGGACAAACGACTCCATCTCAACCAGTGAGTGAGTGCGTTCCGCAACTGGTATACCAAGCTGTCTTTTTGGTGGGTCCAGGGTGTCTTTTCCTGACCACTGCTGAGTTTCCTCACAAAACCACCATCACCTTACCAAATCACGAGAGGCACAAGAGATATGATCAGGACTGCCCAAAGCTACACAATAGCGTTGCAAACATCCAGAAAACAGCAAACTCATCATCCACTGAGGGTGTTGATATAGCACATTTTGCTGCCCCCTCTATTCTACCTGGAGGTTTTGAGGATCTGTTGGAGCTATGTCCGAAAGTGGCTCTCTCCAGCTGGAATTCTGCTGTCTGAGAATGAGAGCACCTCCCCAATGATCCAAACACAGGAACAGCTCTCCTCAGTTTCCAGTCTGAGTCCCGATGGCTTGATGCCTGGAAAACAAAGGGTGAACTAAACGAATTCCACGATCTCCACTTCATGTTCTTGCTGTTCAGTGGGGAAATGAATCCCCACAGGCCCCAAACAAGGTTTTGGCAGGTGAGGCCACGGCTTCCTGGCTAGGCCCCCCACCTGAACAACTCCTATCTGCCGTTCAACTCCTGGGTACCCCCGTCCCGACTGCCACGGTCACTGGCCGATTTGGCCGCCGAGGAACCCTCCGACCCAGCTACCACCTTTCGTCTGCTTGGTGGCGACCCCTCTGCGCCGATAGTCCAGTCCTGGAACGAACACCGTCACGGACGGAGGAAAACATGCCTCGCGGTCGAGGAGTCTGAACACCAACTCACCCGACGACCAGATGATGCGGATGATGGGCAGGGGATGATGGGCGTGACTGGTTCCATTGTCGCATGAAAATCCCATGGAACCCAAATGACCCCAATTTTTCACGGTAACTCGGTAACTCTTCCGGTCCGAACCCGTCGGGTCGCTGCGATGCGTGAACCGGGTGTCCGGCCGGTGTTTGGTCGGACCCCCCTGAAAAAGAATCTCTAGATTGTGAAAAAAGGATGTTTCCTTTCAAGATCCTTTAAGGCTTATCCACTATTCTTTCCTGGGTAGGATGTTTTTGGGTTGCGGTAGTTAGTCTATGAGATTGTCCTGAAAAGCGCCCTTCTTCCTCAATGGACTGCGTTGCAGTACTGCATTTCATCGTGATCAACATCAGTTTCTTGGCTGCTTTCCATTCCTGTTCTGGACAGCTTCCTTGTAACATGTGGCTTTAGTGTTGGATTTCGAACATGTCGTGGAAACGGACTTTGTCTCATTCTCCTTTTCAAAGCATGCAATCAATCGGGGTGACCCCTTGGCGATCGGCAGCACGCAGGGCGCGCAGCCAGAGCTGCAGCCAGTTTCACTGGCTGCATTCGACGGATGGCAGGCTGGCAGGCTGAGCGGCTGAGGTGTCAATCTGAGAACCCTGAAAGACATGCCAGTGACTGCAGCGCATATATCATTGAGCCCACTCAGACCAGGCTGGTCGAGATGGTTGAAATGGGAGGTGTTGCAATGCCAAATGGCAGGTGTCGGTGTTGACCACCAGCAAAGAGTCTGCTTGCCCCTGGAATGGCAAAGAATTGCAATGCCACTAGACCTCTCCAGTCTGGATACATATACCTTGATCCTGATTCTTTTTGGCTGCTCCTTAGCCCGCACGATTCTGCAGGTAGCATATGTTTCACTTGGCCCAACTACTTGCACCGCGCTGATGGCGTAGCGGGTGATCTGCAAAACACAAGTCGTCTTACCCTACAAATCCAAGTACCTTCTCAGAAGGTGGGACTGGGGTGGCTGGAGGGTCCCAAGTGCCTTCTGAGAAGGTACGACTGGATCCCTAGGGCAGAGTCTCCACGATTCTCCCACCCGCGGGGTAAATACGGCCTCAAGCGGCATCTCTGCAGACTTCCACAGTCCACTTGGAGATGTTTGAGATGAATTGCCGCAGGATTTCCGCATGTAAGACTGCATCGTTGATACACAAAAACAGTGGATTGGCAATCTCAAGTGCCCGAACGTGTCTGGTGCAGTATGAGAAACACGAGAGTGTCTACCACAGCTGCTATTGCCAGTTAGGCCCGATGTAACAATAAGTTCAATCTGACTACTACGCCACCTTGCGGAAACGCCAAAGACAAGTGAAACAAAACTGAACATTGGACATCTACTTAGACCTCCCAAAACTCACACTCGACAAATGTGGCCAAAAGCGAATTGCAAAGAAAGAGGGTAACAAGTCACCTTCCCTGCAACAATCATGGAAGTGGAACATTACCCCTGGAAAGACAATTCTTCTGTTCAAACAGGTTTAAGAAGAAGAGCAACAAGTTTTACGAATGAGTCTCCCCACTGTTGAAGTGGACCTTGGACCTTAATTAAAAAAACACTCCCCTACCACAGGTCAAACACCATGAGTGTTCCTCCCCCTAAAAAAGAAATCTACACTCTGACTCACAAACATGGAAGTGGAAAAACCCTTGTTGGTAGAGGACAGTCGTCTTCCAAGGGACTGCAATCCACTTCCAGGTGATGTGTTCGTCAGAGGGTAGTCCTCCCAGTGCTGTCCGGATGCTTTTCTTCTCCAGATCAATCCCCCGATCTTCTCCAGCTTCCCGCTGGGCCGAGCGTCCACTGCCATATGCCACCTCATTCAGCCGCACGCCCCACCTGGGTCGCGGTGTGTGTTAAATCGCGAGCTCGGCAGGTGAACGAAAAAATGCCAAAAACGCCAGGTAGCAGAAACCCCGTGGGGGGGCTCAAGAAGGGGTGCAAGGATGAACGGATCTCAGAAAGACACTCCCACACACCCCTCAGGATCAATGGTATATTAACCTGGCTCTGAGATGGAAAAAAAACGGTATCCTGAGGGTCAGCACGTACCAGATCACGTATTGAACATCTAGGCCATGGGGCTCCCCCCTAAAGAAGAGCATACCCCCGCTGAGTGCCCAAGGATTCTCCCTGCATGTGAAAGACAGCAACATGCAGTAGAAACTTGATTTCTTTAGCTCACGTTGATGCCCCAACCTGAAGGACCCAGCAAAACAAGGAGCTGTCAAATCTTGCCAAACCTCTCCCTTGCATTTGGAGCTGTTGGTCGTGACAGGTTGGCGTCCAGACCTCAGCTCTGCCCTTGGCACAAATTGCACACCATTCTCAAGAGCGAGCCCCCCCCGAAAAAACCAAGACCTCCAGCCAGCACATGGTAAACAGGTTGTAGGCAAATATGAAGCCAGGACATTTTTTGACTGTCAAGCTATTCGAGGTCTGTGACCGCTAGCTGTGGAAGCCAGGACGTTACAGTAGTAATTAGACCCCAAAGGGGAAGGTCATTGTGCTGAAGTAAAATTAACTAAACGCTAATTATATCCAATTATCAATGACCCCAAAGGGAAGGTCTGTGTTATTAGACTTCATTGTTATGAAGAGGTCAACATTGATCCATGGCGCGTTATCCCATGGACCATTGGACCTACAGGAGCGGGTCCAAAAGGAGTGTCTTTCAATAGGATCATTTCTTTGCACATGAGCACTTCTTCAATGGCATAAAAAACACATAAATCAAAATATACACAGTTATACACACACATACTTCTAGTGTCCACACATGCAAACCTCCCGTCCAATGTATTTAAATGATTGCAAATCAACAACTCATGTACCCCTGGATATTTTGTTTAAGATGTCACACATGTGTCTGGAACGTGTGGATGAAGATAGGCAGAGAAGTTGACCCCGAAGTTCGAGTCGTTTGTCCAGGCTTGTCCTAAAACGGGGGGTTCCAAAAAAAAAGAGGTCTCCATATTGAACCATACACTCTCAGACTCTCCTCATACGTCTGAGAGGACCTGAAGACTTGAAGATTGGCTTTCCTTGGTTCGGCCGAACTCGGCACCGGTTGGTCTGGTGATCCCGGATTTAAACCACCGGCCAATGATAGAGTTTAAAGGCCATCTAAATACACTCCCTGAAATCATATGAATTGGATTGGATTTTTGTTGCCCAAAATGGAGGTTCCCCTTGGTTTCCGGCTAGACCACTTCCAGGTGCTTTTCACTCACTCACTCACTCACTCACTCACTCCACAAACCCATATGATTCTTTCAAGGAGTGTACCTTGGCTTCTTAACCTTGGCTTCTTACTTAAACCAGTCACCGCGTCAGACGCGGACCAGTCGCCGGGTCAGCGCGATGCCGCCTCTCGTTGCGTCTGAACTGCCGAACTGACTCATGCCTCCCGACGCCAAACACAAAAGGACTGTATACCATAGTGCATTGTAGTACCAGTATGAGGATGAGGATGGACAAATTCCTGGAATGATTGCCACAACAGTGGATGATGAACGTCAATAAAAGACTTGTTCAAAGAATAGTGATCGACTGTCACTGCTAATGGAACACACCCTAAATCTGGTTCTTTCTCCCGTGGCAATTGGAGAAGTTCTGTTGGTTCCCCAAATTTCCTGTGGCTGGGTCTGTGGCTTGGAATTGCCCACGAAGAAGTCGGAGCCTTGGAATTGCTTTGACGCGGGTGCATGTTCGGAAGCCCCCTCTCCGCGACGTGGTTTAAATCGGAACTTGGAGCCAGTGCATGTTCGGGTTCTTTCAGTGAACAACCCTTTCCTCTTCAATCGTTCTTTAAAGATCGAGGAACTATAGCAAGGGGCGCACGGGAACGTGGTGTGACCGAGTGACCCGGCTCGGAACCGATCCGCCACCCGAGCCAAAGGTCTAGCTCCGCTGTCAAGATCGGACCCGAAGCGAGTTCGTGCCCTGCACAAATGGGAAAACACAGGTCTGACCCTGGGAACCCGTGAATACCGCAGTGTCATGGCTTGTTTGCCCTGGACGCCCGTGCTTCGCATGCGAGACTTGGGCATTGGTGGAATGGACGTTGCATCCGAACAAAAACATAAACACCTTTGTGCAAAAGCGGAGACAAGCGCATCTACACCTTTCATCAAATGCAAGCTTTATCCTGCATGGCTTGCATTTCCTTGCATGACATCGACAGTCAAACAAAATATATGCGCAGTAATTCATGTTGCAAAAAAACAAACACATCATTAACCTTGCCTGGGTCTGCAAGAGTTGTCAACTACACGTATGAGGTGCAAATGTGGTTTTACAATGCTGTTCAAATCAACCCTAAAATGATGTGTGTCCAGGTCTGTCTCCCGACTGGTGGTTTGTGCCAATCAAAAATTACAAAACCCATGAACCAAACGAATTGAGACAAAGGCACACATGGTAGGCACCCCAGAACGCCACCCAATTCATGCTTTCCCCGTGGGCTTCGAATTTTGTATATCAGTCAGCAGCATTTACCAAAGCACAGCTTCGACAGACTGGTGCGACTCGTGGGAATGACGATGGCTTGACCCTCTGCTAAATAGATTCCTCAGTGTTTAGTAATCTTCATTTGTTTTTTCCTCCCTTCCCTTCCTCCAAAACCTTCCTCCCTTCCTCCCTTCCTTTTCCTTTCCTTTCCTTTCCTTTCCTTCCTTCCTTCCTTCCTTCCGTGCCTCGCATTGAATCTCATTTCTCTCCATGTTAATGTTGGCAATAATTACTGTACTGTTACTTACATGAGATTACCTTGGGGACGTTTGAGAACAAGGAGTAAACGTAAATGTCAAGCACGGAGCCTTTGAGAGTTCTTTCCTCCTGCAATCCGTCGCAACTCTCAGGATCCGCACGCAAGAAGGGCGCGCCCACCGCCGTGGCAATGGCCTCCGCAGCTGCGCACCTCGGCGTCTGTGGTCGGGTCTTGGCGGGTGCACTGAGTTCTTTGGCATCTTGCACGCAAATTGTTCGATCGTATGAAGTTGCGGGTGATGGCGAGAGTAGCATGACAGCGGTTCTTTCTTTGTTTCTTTGCAAGCATTACCTGACTCCAGGCATGTTTCGAATGGACACTGCATGCAATGCTCGAGTCTTTCAGGATGATTCGACAGCCAATATCCTCCACCCAAGTCCACCCCCCTGACCGCCAACACCACGAAAACAACAAACAAACAGGTCGTTGGATTCTCCATGGTTTCACTGATTGGGAGGCATGAATGGGAGCTCTTGGGAAAATACCACTACTGTTACAATCGAAAGCCGAATGAAACAGGGCGCACACAACCACAACAAGGCATAGGCTGAACCCTCAGTTTTTGCAAGTACACGGGGTGCTGTTGCAGATTCGCAACGCTCCGCAGTCAACCCGCCTATGGGCAACTCTATGCACGAGAGATGACCAAATGCTCAGCCAAGCATCACAAGGGAACAAAGAAAACATCTCTGTTTGAATAGGTCGCAACTCAGCGACCACCTCTGCAGCAGTGCTTGGTGCAACCGCCCTGCTCCCGCTCTGATAAAACACAGAAGTTGATTCAAGAGGTACTCAATGTTGAATTGGTCAAGTCCCTCTTCCAAGTTTCGCACACACTTCGCCCTGGACGCTTTGGCTGTGAGGCCGGCGCCTGATCCCAACTGCACTGACACGGAGACGCAGATCCTCTCAAATTCACGCAGGACTTGCTAATGGTCGTCGAAGTGCACGACATTGCAAGCTGCAAACTGTGCAGCAGTGCCAATGGCGCTGAATTTGCCCCAACCTTGCCCTCCGAATTGCTTTGGTCTCCCATTCAACACACCTGTTGCAGCCCTGGCCTGGTGGTGCAAAGCTGTTCATAAGAGAGCCTGTGAAAGGCCATTGTGACATGAACCGAGCTTGCTTGCAGGATGAGCTACCCTGAACAACGTCCCAGTGGTATGTCCTTGAGTTGCCTGATCTTCTGGTCATGTAGAGAGGGCCATTGTACAAAGACTGCGCCAAGAATGGGGCATACTCTAGTGTCCGGTCCTCTGTGGTGATAATGTGATGGAACAGTCCCGGATACCTGTCACCAACGCTGTGACCACTATCGCGATAGAGCAAAAATCCCATGGTCACTTTTGTTTTTGATCTCTCCAAACTTTACAAGGTACGGTTCTAATGTCGCCTCTGGCAGTGCGTTTGCTATCTAATACCTGATGCATCCTGATGCCAGTGTGCTTCTTAAACTCTTCTAATGACCGGATAAGGACTCCGGCCGGAATTGGACCAAAATTGTTGATCATGGAGCAGGAGCCCTCAAGCTAGTTGCCCTGGTGCATAGCTCTCCACCTCCTTCGACCCCATCCTTTTCAAGATTGTTTATTTATTGAGGAACCTTCTTTGCAAGAGTTTAAGGTAGCTTAAACGATGGTACCAAAAGAAGTGGTTGTTTAGGGCATGTCCTCAGTAAGCAAACGAAGACCTTCTCCGTCGAAGTCTTGGAACTTCGTTGCAGCAAGGACAACGCTTCCCCCAACGACAAGCAGCTCCAAAGTCGACTCTGAAGCCGCTCCATGTGTAACAGAGGTGCAGGAAGCAACAGGCCTAAGGCATTAGACCTGGCTGGGCCATGCCAAGCAGGGTCAAACATGTTAACACATCAAACATGAGTGAACTTGACTGAATTTGTCACCTCCGATGAAACTGTTTCGCCGTCCTATTGCACCGGTTCTGCCTTGTATTCCGCCGGTTTCCGTGTTGTGCTTTTAGTTTCCTTTTTTGGTCGTATTTATTTTCATCTTTTGGCGTTGTGTATTTGGGCTTTTGCGTTGTTTCTCAGGTCTTCTGGCTTCAGTCAAGAGAAAAGCGATGCAGAACTGCTCAACATCCGCAAAAGTGACACTTTCAAGCTTGAAAGGCTAGAGTTGGAACATATCAAAGCAACACTAGATGTTCACCGCACAACTCTCAGGTTTCTCCCTTTCTGCAGAAAGTGTCCTGATTTTGTCTGATTAAACCTGAAGTGCAAGGACTCTGTTCCACTGCTCTGGCACCCGCAAAGAGTGGGCACCATAAAGGTAGCGAACTAGGCGCATCATAAGATGCAAATTGTTCTCCAACCGTGTATTAACTGTTCTTGCTTGTAAGTGGTATTTGATTTCTCTTGACATTTACATTACGATCTTTCATCCAAAACTCGTCTCACACTCAGCTTGGCAAGGCACATACACTGGAGGCTATATGTTCAAGTTGCGCATGTTTTCAGGCGAACCCAAACAACGCACAGCTCCAGGTATATATATATATATGTTCTTTTATGACCTCCATGTCCGCTCCATTCTCCAGTCTTGAGAACCACACCACAAAAGTTTAAACCGCCTGTCTGTGATTGTATTAGATCATCTTAGATCCTTCGGATGGCTGCCAAAACGCTTAAGGATGTTCAGCTGCTCCGAATGACTTGATCTCGACCCAACACGCGCCATCGTGCCCTTTCAAGCCCACCACATCCCGCAACACTGGATCCAGGTTTAAAACGAAAACACAGAACGACCAGTGTCAGATTGCAGTGTGGCTTCAGATGACATCCTCTCATCCTTCCTTGGAGACCATCAATGGAATCAACATGGCGAATTCGGAAAGGTGCGAGACGACCAATCAGACCAGCTCCGTCCAGCTCCGTCTCTTCGCTCTGACCCGGAACGCGCGGAACCGCGGCGCTCGTTTTGAGGTTCCGCACATCACCGGCATCGCCTCTCGGAAGAGCTGCAGCGACACCTGGAACACGCGGCTGGGTAGGGCTGGGGTTTGGCTTCGCGACGGGAGCTCTTGGATTGGCATGGATTGACAGCTCACTCCCACAGGTCCAAGCAACACGTCATCCGGCTTCCGAAGTCCACGAATTCGTCGCTGTGACCACTGTGACCAGCATTTGAACTTGCCTTTAAACCTGAGACCAGGACGACGTACAGGGACGTACAGGGCATTCGAATGGGCCAGACGATCGGGCATCCCCTGGCGACTCTGGACCCCCCCCCCACATCGCACCTCAAAGCCACGGTTCCCGCCATGGTGCTCGTGGATCACCTCGCAGACCGTGGATGCGCACGAACCAACGCCAAACGCTGCTTTGGCGCGTGCGGAACCTGAAAAGACTGAACGCTCCGAACAGGCCGAGCACGCCCGTGCCTCCCAGTCATCCTCCTCCGAAAATTCACCACGGGGCTTGCGCACCTGAGCCGGGCGCACGCGTGCTGATCACAGAGGGTCAGGGGGGTTCACCTCGGGGATTGGAAGACTCTGGAAAGAGTGGTCTACAAAAATCCAGCGGGTCTTGACAGCCTCCTTGAGACCATCTCCAGTATTTGAAGTCAGTTCCTGACCTGCAGGGATGTGGTCCTAAAATCTGACGCGACGTCACACGTCTCGGGTCGCTTCGATGCGGCCAAAGGCACCAGCCACGTGCTCCGTCGGCCCTTGGGTTCGGCGGGCCTGCCCCACCTCGCGAAGCTTGGCGCTTGGCGCGACTGGAGTCTGTTTGGCTTGAGCTCCAAAACCTGAATCATAGGTGGAGGAGAACATGCACCTGGGAACTCAAGACATTCATGGATGTTTCCACACAAACTGCATGCTATGTAAAGCATCTCAATTGCCATATTAGAACAACCATTTGTTTCTGGTTTCTTGGGGTTCCAGGTAGAATGAAAGGGTTGGAATTACAACACATGCGAGGAGCGCCGGGGTAGAGATGATTGTAGACCAGGACCCTCACCGCCAGGTCACCAATATTAAGACCTGTTACTGTTAGGGGCTCATCCACCCTCTAAGCCTATGGATCCACTGCCACCCTCTGATCAGATTGGAGACATTGATAACATAGGCATGGAAGGGTGAGGCGTCGAACCGGTTCGGTGTGGATCCAACTCCAGACCGACCCGGAGGGCCTCTTGGTGACCTGAGCGCCATCCACTCCACACTCACCGAGTTCGGGGTCGATCCAAAGTCAGAAGGCTTCGAACCGAAGGACAAAAGACCCAGTTTATATATATATATATATGAGTGGTGAAGAGAATCCCCCCCCGAACAGGTTCTTGGTCTTCAGGTTCTTCACTGACTTACCTGGGAAAAGGCATAGAGATGAGAGATCTGACCAACCGTCGAATCTTGAGATTTGAGACTCTAGAGTTAAGCAAAAAAGCACGCACACTAGGAGAAGATCACAAATCACTGGCATCACTGGGAGAAGAAACAAGCACGCACTGAGATTTGAGACACGAGAGTTAAGAAAATCACACATCTTCTCCCAACAGTTGATGTCCTTAACTCACCATGCAGGAACATTCCAGCGTTCCTGTGTTTCAAGGAGAACCGAGGGGTTTTCCAAAGCTGTTCCGAGTCCACAAAAACATGGATGTTTGGCAGGCCGATTATATATATATATACTGTATATAGATCCTGATGGGAAATTCCAGGTTCATCAATAGTTGTTGCACCACGCAAATACTGAAACCAGGCATAATCAAGTGAACCCGTTGACTGATCTATAGCGTTTATAGCAAGAGTACCACCATCGTGATCCTTTTCCAGTCTTTGATGAGCTTCTCTCATGTCTCCCGCACGCATCCCGTCCCACTCCCTTTGGGCGGCACACCACCAAATGCCAACTCGTGCCTCTCACACTGCCAGGTGTCGGAGACCGAATGGACCGAGCGCAAAGGACAAAGCAACGAATGAGGTGTGTGTCCTCAAACATGATGAGCTGCATGGAGTTAGCATCTTTTTCATCCCAGCCAAGAATCACTTCAGATTCTTCCAAGAGTATATACAGAAAAATTATGGAAAATAAGTCAAAACACTATCTCAAGGGGGGTCGAGAAATAGAGTAATTACAATGCATACAATTCGATACATGAGAGAATAGAATCCAATTCAATCCAACACTGCCACAATACCATGCAATGCAGTGGATCAATAAAGAACTATATAGGCAATATCAAATGGCAAATTGTGGCATTGTTGAATGTGAGTTGGATCCCCTTTCAAAAAAAAAGTACAATTTCAAGGGTCGAAGCAAATTGACTAATCATGAGTAAGCAGCTGGTTTACACATCATCTGGGGGTCTTAGATTGGACATGGATTCGTACGTGTCTCACGAGCTTGTCGGCGCGAAGCAACCTGGAATAGATACGCCCTGGTTCCGAGACCCAAGTGGAATCTGAACACCACGTCGGTCTTCGGAAAACGTTCATGTACTTCGTCTTCCATGTCGGTCCACATCTTCCCGGTGCCATGATCATCGGGTCACGGGTGTAGTGTTAGGTCACCCTCCTGTTGAGCTGCTAGGTTCGTTTGGTGGAGGGTACTCAACGTCCTTCCGTTGGAGGCTTTGGTCTCCGCTCAACTGGTTCCGTGCTAGCTGCGAACTCGAATGCGCAGCCGCAGGGCTGAGTCATATATAGTCTATATTAGTGAGTCTCTGTGTAGACAGCCCTGTATCTTCCTTCTTCAGCTTGGTGCGGCAGCTTTCCAGTCTCCGGCCGCTTGCACCGTCGCCGAAACCGCGGAAAGCGAAGCAAATGGACCAATAGGATGGTCGTTTTCAGGATGGTTCGGTTTCCCACCGGCCTCATCTTCGTCCCCAAGGCAACGTATCGCTGCTTGTCCCACATTGAACCACCAAACATCTCATGAGCGTGACAGGCTCGTGATGTTCTCAGGTCATGTCCGTGACAGGCTCGGAAAAAGCCTGCCACTGATTTCAGGTGCAGGACAAGAAACAGGAGGACCAATTCAAACCCCATTCCCAACCACCCACGGACGGCCATGGGTGGTGGGGGGGGTAGCGTGACCGGCATCTGAACACGTCTCAAAAAGGTCATGCAGCGCACGTCTTCGCGTCAGACTGGCGCTGCTAGTCTTCACCCCCCCATGGACCTGTGGGTTTTTCTCCATTTTCAGACCACCCCAACCGTGGTTTTGTTGGAGTTCCATGGAGTCCACTGCAGCGAAAAAAAAACACAGTTAAAAACAAAAACTCAGTTGGAGCCTCTGGGGAGCTTGTAATCAAGCGTCTACATTGCTACATTGTGGGGTTGCCGGAAGAAAGGTTTTCAGATTGGAGCCATGGGAGCGTCCAATCTGGAGCCATCGCTGCTCACGCTTGAAAAGATGAACAAAGTCTTCCACATTAAAAAATGCATGGTTCAAACATGTTCAAACTGTGTCTGAATAAAAGGCTTGTCTTGTTTCCCGAAGATCCCATCAAGATCCAGGACCATGACTCTTTTCGAAACGCCTTGTTGGTCGCTTTTCGCCCGCCTTGCCCCAAACAGTCACCACACGCAGCCTGAGAAATGCGTGGATTTCCCCGGCTTGGGATTGCCGGTGAAGTCATCCTCACAAAAGCCAAACACTCCATGGGATTGGTATGTAGTGGTACATATGCCTACACTGGCCTCTGAAATCACCCAAATGTATGTAAATATGCCATACATGGAGTGTCTGGAACATGGAAAGAAGAACCTTTCGAACATGTTTTCTTCATGCCCATGTCAATAACCAGCAGTGTACTTAATCCTCTCAACAGGAGTAGACCTGATAAAATGGAGCCACGATTTGCCTCCCAAACCAGTGAATATAGAAATCCGACCATGGCATCTGCGACATACACACACCTATCTTAACCCCTCTTCAGCCACCCACTCATACAGACAAAATGGCCAGTCCCAGTCCCAGTGTAGACTGGGGGTTGGAGCCCAGGCAATGCCTTTGGTTTTGAACTTCTCCCAGCACCGCAGATTCCGGGTGTCCATCAATAGCCCCGAAAAGAGGTGATTCGGGGTGTCCATTAGACACCCCGACTGGGGGTCTGTGTTCTCATCTGGGTGTTTGTTTCGCAATATCAGGTCTGTGTTTCTTCGTTTTTGGACACAGGCCACTGTGTCATTGGTCGTCCACAGGCCCATGGATTGGGAACACTTTACGAAGTGGATGCTTTCTAAAGCTCGTGCCAGGTTTAAAAATACATTTTTTGTCAGTGGTCAACAGCCAATCGGTTTAAACGATGTTAGAAGAAATCGTTACTTGTGCAAAGTCGTGGTAAGTTAAAGTATGATCAAGTGTTTGATTGATCCATATTGATCCCACTTTCAGGTGACAAAGTCACTCAAGTCATAGTTGTTCTATGTTGTTCTTGAGCAAATAGATATGGCGTACTGACCAAACATCCCAGTTCTGACCAAGTCCGGACAAACTCACACGCGTGACCCACAAACGTGCGTTGTCTGTGCATAATCTGCCAAAGATGCCATCCTTGAGGTTGGTACTCTGGACGGGATGGGGTGTTCATGGCTTTTGGAATGGGGTAACCATGCAATTTTCCGGCCAAGGAGCTCCAAGGGAAAGTTGAAGTTCACCGCAGAGCGATACCGCCTGAGGTGGTGCTTCGGTGCTAGGGCCGCACCCAAACACTGCCCGATCAGAATGAAGCGACTGGAAGTTGGCAGGATCGGGCCTTGTGCTTCATTCACAGACGGATGAGTTCACAGAGAGTACCTGCTCGCCTGGTGATCCCAGACGTGACTCGACTCGCGCTGCGAAGAGTCAGACGTGACGGGAGGCCGGGCGATCGGAGGGTCAGGTCGAACACCCAGACAGACACTCCATGGGACTGGTATAGGACTGCCGAGAAACGGCCAGGGGTGGTGGTGCCAGAGGGGTCAATGGGGCGGCAGTCCTACGGCAGTCCCATGGAGCGTCAGGTCTTAGAAGAAACCATGGTTGTGGTGAATCCCACGGATCACCCCAAGTGTTGACGGAACATCAAACACGTCCATTAGCAGCTGTTGAATGCGGCGTGCGGCGCTGTTTTCTCTGTGAATGAACTTTCAGGAAGCAAGCATGGACTTCTCTCAAGTTCACACAAAGGTCTGTCAAACCTTTCTGGGGCAAATCCATGGGCTTCTAGACTTAGCACCCTCCTTTGGGTCAATCTTTTTTTTTTTCCTCGACGGCATCGGTTTGAGCTCCGGGCGGTTGCACCACAAAGCCAGGCACCAGGGACTTCAAGGCCTGCGGATGATTTTCGGGAACGAGGAAAACGAGGAACTCATAGCTGTCATGCGCGCCCATCCCACGTATTCCCACCATGTTCCACCAGCAGCATGGAGCTGGGTGCCGGTGCCGAACGGAGGGGCTGGATTGTACTAAAACTCACTTGATTGGAACTGCCTGGCATATTTACAATAATTACAAACATTGGGGGTGGCTGAAATCAGGGGAAAATGAGGGGAATATACCAGTCCTATCTATGGTCTGGGTGAAACGGGAACGATGACGAGGACAAGTAGTTATTCTGTCCAGGTGAATGGCAGGTCCCTTCGTCACGAAATCGGCCCGAGGTTCCAGAGATGAAGCACCTGGTTCCTACTAGAATCTGTCACCACCACTAAATCTCACCCTCTCCAAACAACAACAACAACAGCAGCAGCAACAGCAGCAGCAGCAGCAGCAACAGCAACAACAGCCACAACCACAACCACAACAGCTAGTACTTCTTCTAGGAGGACGACGACGACTTGGATCTGCTCCCGAAGGTCTACTCCGCCGCGGCTGCCAGCAAACAAGCAGGCAAGCAAGACAAACAGCATAGTCAAGCAAGCCAAGAAGCAAGCAAGCAGCGCAAAGCAAGGGAGCAGCCAACCACATCTGATCCCAGAGGTCAAGCCCCTTTGCAATCACCGCTTTGTTTGCATTGCGGGGGAGGCGCTTCCCCCTCGCCGCACCCTCTCTCGCTTTTATTTTTTGGCAAGCAAGCAAGCAAGCAATGCGCCCTCCCCCCACACCCCTGCCGCTTCTTTTAAGATAAAGGGACCATACAACCAAGCAAGCAACCAACCAACTACATCTGATGCCTCACGTCCACCCCCTGCAATACTTTGTTTGCATTGCCCACCCACCCCCGCTTCCCCTCTCGGCCTTTTAGCAAGCACGCGCTTTGAAGAAGTTTCCTGTTCATCTTCTTTACATCATCTCCCAAAATGGCTACTCACACAGACCTAACGCAGGCACATGCGTTCACCATTGAAGGCAGCCAGGCTGAAGAATGCGAGAAACCACTCGGCCACCAGGACCTGGTGGTCGCTGGGAATCCCTACACATCGCTGGGAACTGCGATCGGTCTACCCGTTTTGGAACCCAGCGAAGCCGTGAACCCGGGAACCTCAAAACCACTGAGTGGGATGCTTGCTAGCCCAGAGTGGAAAGAATGGATTTCCACCAGACCCTCCGAAACAAGTTGCCTCACTCTCGGAGTCAGAGGCTTTCTTCTGCAGGTAGGTTCGCATGTGTTCCTTGGGCAACGAAAGCGGAGGCCTGGAGGATCTTGGAGGGCAACATGGGGGAGTAATGAGAGACACTGAAAGGAGATGTTTACATCATTTACTGGTAGAACTTGTTGTACCTACGGGGCTTGCCGAGAAACTTCTCATTCTCCTCTCCTCTCCTCTCCTCTGCTGTGTTTTGCTCTCCTCTCTTTTCTTTGATGTTTGGCTCATAGGGAGCACCTTTCCTTGTCCTTTCCCTCGTTGGTATGTCCCTGGACACTTTTGCTGGAGCTGGGAACACCTTCCTCTTGTTCAGGTGCGCCCGTGGATGCTTGTGTCATAGTCCTCTCTTTTCTCCCTGTTCCTTTTGCACAGGAGGTCCATAGAGCTGTGCTCAGGACTTGGTGAAACCAAAGTTGGTGGCCTTCGTGTGAACTTATATCCCACGTGTGTGAACACTTGGGTCTGCGGCATACTGAGGAAGACCCAGTTGGTGGACCAACAATTCCGTCAAGGTCTTTGCCAGGACCCCCACTCGGCAAGTGGCCGGGTCCTGCTTCAGCAAAAGTTCCAACCAAGAACTTAGAAGCAACAAAAAGGCAACTCAAGAATGTCATCTCGTCCTCCAGTTTGTTTGTTTTTTTACCTGCAAATGGAAAAAGTTAGAACCATGGGACAGGACGTGCGGTTCAAGACCTCGCCCCGAGTCGCGATAGCTTTTCAAGTTGTCCTTTTTGACATTCAAGGCCATCCCAGACTGTTGAAGAAGAGCAAAGATCTTGTGTTTTATTGAGTGACAGTTTGGTGCTCCCAATTCAAGTGGTTCACCTGATGAATCATAGGCTGATCAAAAACCCCCAGCAGCACTTGGAGGTCTTCCTGGACCTTCCACGGATGCCCAGTGCCCAGCTCTGAAAACTCACATGGGCCCTTTCAGGGTGCCATTCGACCCGGGTCGAGTTTCCGGGATCGCCTCCAACCTTGGTTTTTCAGAGCATCTAGGAGCGATGGCCACCCAAGAGCCATGCGACCTGGGTCCAGTTTCCGGGAGTGTCGGTGAATTCTCTTTTTGCACCGGCCCCACGTTCTCCCAAACGTTCCCCGAGCGGTCCGCGCCGCGCAAGAGACCCCGCGCCCGCGCGGTTTTTGGTTCGAGGTCTGACGTCTCAGTCTACCAAGGGTCCGTGAGCTTCTGGGCATCCCAGCTTTCCTGCCCAGTAACGCGAACGTGCCGCGAACGTGCCGGACCGTCAAACCTGGTTTAAGGCAACAAAGAGACAAAAACAGGGGCCACGTCTGGGTTTTGCCCACGCCGCAAGGAAGGACGAACAGGATGCGTCCAGATGTGCGTTCCATCGTCCACATGTCCACATCATCCAACACCCAGACACTCCATGTATGCTATATATGCCTACTTGTACATCGGGGTGGTTTTGGGGGTCAATGTAGGCATATATGGCATACATGGAGTGTCTGGGACATGGATGTCCAGTTTCAACCACGGAAGACTATATGGTCACCGACCAATCGGTGGTTAGCCAAGGGTCGAACTCTTCGTTCGCATGTTCATGTCGGTCACTTAAGACGTTCCATCATTGGAGTCTCAGTTCATATCCTCGGAAAATGGGTAGTTACGGTACTATAATAGTATACAAGCACCTGTTTGTCTAGGGTCATGTCCGATTTTCATCGGTTTTCTAAGGTACTTGAAGTCAGGTCCATTTACATGTAACTCCTCTTGGCCACCCCGTCGTCCGCCGCGTCCGCCCCGCACACGGTTTTCCGCTGTACCCCGCAGTCTTCGGGGAAGCTGGTCGGTTTTCTGCGCGGCGGTCCTTCTCCCACTTGGTCTTGCACATGAAAATGGCCCCGGTCGCGCTGCTCAAGTGCGTCCTGAGAGCTTGGGGGGTTCCCATGGGCTTCCGGGAGGCTGAAGTCGTTCTGGGAATACCCTGAACCCAATAGCATGGAGTCTAGCACTCTAAGTCACTGCTACCTCTTTGGGTGCTCAGCCGTCCTCGGTTACAGTGAAAAACATTTCAAAAAATAGATGCTGTCTTGAGTATGATCTTCTGCCTTTTAAACTGCCTTGCTGACTAAGCCAAACTGGAAGGTGGTCCTACCTTAAGCCAGCTACAGCTACACCATCATCTGATTCCAAAGTCCCTTTTGCTCACTCACCAGTCGTAGCGCAGTACCGCAGCTGTGCCACCAGCAAGAAACCTTCACAAACTTGACACATGACTGAGATCAACAACAAACTGATTGACTTTAGTCGCAACTAGGGTGACACAATCACCCTTCTTTGGACCCGTGCAATAGGAATGTATCTGTTTGCAGTTCTGATGAGACCGCTGAGTTGACATCGCCCAGACCACACAGTCATATTTCCCAGGGTCATCAAACCTACCAGAAGCTCTCTACCCTACCCCACCTTGCCTACCCTACCTTGCCCAGACCGCCCCTCCTGCAGAGACCCATCCCAGGCCGAGCTCGTCTGGGTCTCGTACATCCTCTCGTCCGCTCGCTCTCATCCCGGTCGTTCGCTCCGCGCGCTCGGTTCGTCCGAGCTTCGGCTTGATGACGACGTCGTAGGACTCCTCCTCCGTCCAGGAGGACACCAGGTTCTCCACCTGATGAAAAATCGGCACGTGAATGGGATGAAACGCGGCACGCGGACCCTGGAGTGGAATATTTTTGCGACCAGTGGCTCGGAACAGGTGATGTGCAGATCAGATTTCATGAGCTTCCTGTTGTCTATATCACTATCCTGTACTGGTACTTCAATATGTAGCAATGGAGGCATCCTTCCATGCATCCGACCTCTAGCTCGTGGTGTGTGTGTGTGTGCGTGTCATGCCAAACATTGTATTTATGCCTATTGCTGATGCCAAACATCGGCGTAAAAGATCCGTCCAAACGAAGGTTTTTAGCTAAGTCATTTCTCCCAACCAAGTGGAACTGGTGGACTCATCAGTGCAACCAGTGCCGTCCAGAGAGAAGTACGTCCAGTCGGTGGATGAAGCCGTCCAGTCGTGGGCATTGTCCAAGTCTAGTCTAGATAGACAAATCATCCAAACTACAACCCACAGGATGACAAAGAAAGTGAACCACCTGCATTGGACTGCACAAGACCTCCATTACACCCGGATTGTTGAGAATGGTTATTTCAAAGAACAGCTGCGCCTGACTCTGAAAAACTGTCAACATCTATGTTCCACTTCACTTCTGACCAAAAAGTGTCCCTGGCTTTCAGTAGTAGCTTGGGTTGGTGGCAGCACACAAATCCAAACCAAACCATACCTGAGTTCAACTCTCATGAATCTATCACCCCCCCAGCAATTGGCCTGTACAGTGAGGCCTAGAGGTGTCCCGAATCACCCTCGCCCCGGGTCGTGCATCGGCACTGGTGGCGTCCATCGTTCGCCGGAAACGGACACTGGAAAGCGTCCAGGGGGGGGGTGGAAAAGGAGGACAAGGTCACACAGCTCTCTCCTCTTCAGTGTGTCTGAAACCAGGCCTCCTCTTCAGTCACCTGGCTGTAGGTGGAAAAGAGCCTAGGCTCACTGGCGCGGCCAGAAACGATTTGCCGGTCCTTTAGGTGAGTCGGCTGAAGAGAAACAAAAAGCAGTTCTTGGCAAACAAAACAAACAGCAGCACTATGTTTAAAATTGTTTAATGAGATGCTGGGTTGCAAAGATTGGGACAAATTTGGATTGCACTTACCCATGTTTCATGACGTTTCACGGATCCTCAATGAAAAAAAAAGGTGTCTGGTCAAAAGGTCCTTCTCACCTCTAAGTGAGGACGATCACAGTCACGTTTTGGTGCCCTAAGAAGGTGAACATCTGTGAGAACCGCGCCTGCAAGATCGTTTCTCAAAGATGGTGAAGGGCAAAGCTCAGGCAGGTGAGGATCACCCGGAACCGACTCTACAGGGAAAACCACCAGCCAATTAAACAAAATCCGTCCAAACACCATTCCGGAGACCGGACGGTCGTGGCATTTATAGTGTACCAAATAGTTTGCATCAAAAAAGTCTCGAGTGAAGAACCGTGATATTTCCAAAGGTCGCAAGTAGGCGTGGGGCAGGGTGAGAGAGGTTGCGAGTAGGTCAGGAGTAGGAAGGAGGAGTATACAGGTAGGAAGGAGTAGTGTGTGCCTAGAAAAACGGAGAATCTACAGCTGGTCGCTGGTCTCCGTCCGAGTGCGTGTGAAACCCTGGCACCAACGCCGACGATGTCTGGAATCGGGGTCGATGCCAGGACCAGGTACCATAGACTAGACCTTCTTGGTCGTTCACCAGGTGGCCATCCCCTCTGTTCATCAACCCACCAACGCCCGAAAACAAAGGCCATCTACTCTGGGGCTCCAGGCACGGGCATCTGAGGGATGCTCAGATTCTCCAGCAGCTTCGCCAGGACGATCTTATCGCCCAGAGCCTGGCGGGCGCCTTGCCAGGAGCCTAAGCACATCCTCTCCGAGAGGTTCTAGACCAAACAAAGCCTGATTCCGGAGCCTTTGGCCAACCGAGCGAACTCGTCCACAAAGCCACGCAAGCCGGAACGTACTTGTCATGTCATACGGGGTCTCGGTTCGGCCTACCATATAGACAGTGCTTTTCTTGTTGCTACCTCGATCATCTTCTTAGGAGCACGAAAGGAAGACCCACGAACATGAAGGACAAGGCTTCAAACATGTTATATACAAACAGTCAATCAGCTGATCTGTGCTGTAAAAGTGTTCTAGTTCCCCATTTGGTCTCAACGAAATGGTCGCTAGATGTCGCTAGACTGGTTCAGAGCACTCACCTGGGCTTCCTTCTCACCCCTCGTCTCCCCCGGTGGCTTCGGCACCGCGCTGCGCCTGGATGGTGCCCTTGCCGCCGCTGTTGGCCTGGAGGACGTGGGACGAGGTGAAAGAGCGTGGAGGAATCCCAACAGCAGAATGCATGGGTTTCAATCTCCGGGGCTGGGACTGGTGCACAGTTGGTTGGTTTTGTGTCACCCCGCCCTGAGTGAGTGGACTGGTGACTGGTCATGACTGGTGGATGTCCCGAACCGTCGGAAGGGGGGGGGTCGGAACGCCTGGGATGAGTCCCGAAAATGTGGAGAAATGATGAGAAATGGAGACAAAACTTCCAATCTCTGGAGAAGTCTGGGTGGTCTCAGAGCGTCCGACCCGTCGTTTCTCAGTTGATCACTCCGGCGTTGTTGGAAAGAAGAGCCCCCCCTGAAACACTCATGGAAGTCGACCATTGGTCCCTTGGATGACCATTTTCGCCTACAAGCAGGTGGTGAACTCCACTTGCATGTGAATGACTCGGAGAGTACCTTGGGCATCCTGCAGTTTTTGTTGGACCAAAATGGTGAGTTGTCCAAGGAGCCTATCGTAGACCACAAGTGGCCCAACACATTTTCTGCGCAGGGCGACGCAGGGCAACCTGGAACCAAATCCTGATTAAGGACCATCCATGGGACTGGAACAGTTACGACCTGGATAGGTCTTTTTGAAAAAGGGGTGAATGTAACTTTACCTCAGAAACCAAACAACAAATAACACATATTCCGCATGATTAAATAACTATTCCAATGCCAGGGGATTCACCTATATAGGGAAAAAACATCCTCCGCAAAACCAAGGTCTCTGGTCAACAGAATCGCCACGTCCTCCAGCTACTCCACGTCCTCCCACATCACCTTCATCACATCCATCACTTCCTGGATGGGTCGCCTCCGTCCGTCCGCCTCGGTCGAAGCGGTGTACGGCGGAAGGCCAAGCGAAGAGACGTGGCATCCGCAGGAAGTTTGGAAAGAACGCACACACGCACACACGAGCGAGTTCATGAGACGTACTGAATGCCTCATGCCTCATGCCATGGCTGCCCAGGTGAAAAAAATCCAAAGTAAAACATGCAAGGGGGTCTGAGCATGCTGAAAGGTCAAGGTTAGAGGTCCAGGAGGCCAAGAAATCGCTCATCGAGTCTCAAATCCGGCAAGACCGAACAGCGAGTCCGTGAGTCAGACTCTATATCAACAGTGGCGTCGCACTCTTGTTGGGCAACCAGCTATATGCACACGAGGTTGCCCCCCTGCATGAAACAACAGGAAAACACCAACAGGTCCCCTGTGACTCCAAGGGTTTCACACACACACACACACCCGGACAGGGTTGAGGGTTTGGCCGGTTTTGCCAGGATGTTTAAAGCAACACCAGTAGTTCCGCAGTTCTTACTTCAAATAGCAATGAGTTGCCCGTGCGCGCTTTCGAGACAGGTTGCTGGTGCTGGGTGCTGGTGCTGGTGCTGTGAGCTGGCTGTGCACGTGGTGGAGACAGGTTGCTGGTGCCGGTGCTGGGTGCCGGGTGCTGGTGCCGGTGCTGGTGCTGTGAGCTGGCTGTGCACGTGGTGGAGACAGGTTGCTGGTGCTGGTGCGGGTGCTGGTGCTCTGGGTGCCGG